TGTAGCAATTATATAATTATTTATAAAATTGCAAACATCCATATCTGTAACTATGTATCATTGCACAGACAGGCTATAAAGCTACAAATCCACATCAACAATACATAAGAAGCAATCGCACTCTATCAAACCAATGCACAGAGATACATAAAATTACTTCCAGATCACGCTTCATCGAATACCGTTCAATTTTAATTTCACACTTTTCCACCCGGTAGATATCAATTCGCTTGCACAGCTTCTTCCATTCGCACGCGTAACAAGGAGCCAGTATTCTTCCATGTTTTTTCTATTTCTTCCCGATTAATCCTTCCTTTGGAATAATCATCGACGAATCACCTCGCCCTTCATTCGCGCTTCGTAGCGAACGGGGTGGAAACGAGCGGAAGAGCGCGACCGCAGCGCGACCAATTCGCTGGAAACGAATCGAGATTATTTTTACGGTCGTGTTTCAAAGTTTCCGAGTCTGAATCAGACAGAGGGGTGAGACAACGTAGGAACACGACGAAATGGTTCGGTGAAGGGATGGAGGAGCAGAGCGGGGTTGAAGTTCGACTCGGAGTTCCGAGTGGCTGGAAATTAGCTTACTTAGACGGCAGACTGGAAATATTGGCAGATAAGCGATATAGCCTGGCGAGCGACCGATAAGGGAACAGCCAGTAGGGTCGCCCCTGTTCTACGACCCTCGATGGAAACGCGGCTTATTGTCACGCCGCTCGACGAGGGAGGAGGGGGTGGCTCTCGGATGCTGGCTCGAACCCCCCCGGTGTCGTTGGATGGTTTATTGGGACGTTTCGAGCAATGGATGTATTCCTGGCCTTTGGAAAATTGTTACAGACTGATAACACAGAGGAACAGCAATGTAGGTTGTCCATTGGTATGTTTACTGGTGTGTGAGACGGTGTCTCGCGTAGCTGTTGAAAGGGGCGAATCAGGGAAACTCTCAGCGTCTCTATTTGTGTGTACTCTAATATTAAATGAGAACTGTACGAGAGAACCTAGGTCTTTTTTTTTCTTTTTTGACGAAAATGAGTTGTATTTGTGCGAAGAAAAATATATTAAAGGTGTTTATCTTTATCCCCAATATTAAAAATTTACCTTCTTTTTAGAGCAGCGCTGTGGATGTTTTATAAAATTCCGAATATAACTACATTCGTTGAAAAAAATTCGTTTAAGCACGCGAAGAAATTAAGCCTGAATTTAGACGCCTGATTGAGTTATATAAATTGAGTCATCAAGATTTTTCGAGCCGTTCTTGAAATCTCGGAAGATTTCGAAGAAGAGAAAAACGAGCTAAACGGATGCATTATACAGGCAACATTGTACACTGTACAGACAAATTAAACGTTCACTTTCACAGCTAAAAATCATATCTTCGTAATCATGGATTTTATTATCACTCGTGCTGCTACAGAGAAGCGTTTGATCGTTGTTTCACTTTACGCAGGTATTCGTAATTTACGTAATCATCGGTCCAACTGACGGAAAGAGAATAATTAGATTTATTAATTACATTTGCCTATCGAAAATTATAAATGATTATTTCCAATCGCGCACTTGCGTACGGTATCCCAATCAATTTCAAAGCAGACGTACATCAATCCGAATTATTAATTGCAACAGCTCATTGACAATGCTTCGCAATCGAAGCGTTTATCACTTTAACATCGATCGTCGAAAGATATTGCGAGCGTAGCTTTCTGTTTCGTTCGCATTTCGAAAGTATGACCATGTCAAAGGAAATGGCACGGCCAATTTTCGTAGAAAACCAATATTCATATACGTGCATCAATCTCATTATAATAACGAAACAATGTTCAATTTAATAACCGATTGCATTCAGTGTCATCAGAAATTATACAGTTCAATGTTAATGTTGTAATAAAACGAATTCGATAAGGCAGATGTCGCGCTAAACATTATTTGTGTTTTGAGTAAAAATTACTGTAGCCTTCTCTTTATACTTCAATTTTGCAATCTGCGGCAAGCAAAGAGGATTAATAATACTTGAAAATTAGATCTTCTTGTTTCGCGCGAAATTTAATCGAAGAATCATGCTCCTTTCTTTCGTATATATTTCGTTGAAACGTTTGTCAATTTTTGAGAGGCGGAAAGAACGCGGCAGCTTTGGTTAAAACCAAACTAAATCCAAACGAAACGAATCGCCGAGTGCGAGGAGGACCATAAAGTTCGCAAATAAGGTAAAACAGGGGGGGGG